CATGTTTGAAATATATACTGGATATTTGGATATATTCACTACTATTCTGAAACAATATTCATAAAAAACAACAAATGGCCTCATTACTGGACAATGTCATTAGTGGTTTCAAAATGTGTCACAGAGTCTGGAAAGTACATCACTAGATCATATGATTTTCATTAATCAAATTAATGCCTGACATCATGACACAGTAATATATATATTATCATAGTCATGCCACGTGACCACAAAAACATCAACAAAAACACTGATCATAGTAAACAAATAAAATATATAAAAAAAGAAGATCATGTGTGGTAAGTTTTCCGTGAAAAACCACAAAAATGTTAAAAATATGTCATTCGTTGCCTTGTATCAGAGTGTTTATGATACTGATATACAAACAACACGTATTATTTTCCGTATTAATATGTGCAACGGCAACGAGCATGTTTTTAAATAGAAATATGTGCATTGGTCCCGTTTATATTTTCTATGTATGTTCCTCTACGTTATTTTCCTCAATAATAATAATAATGATCTGGCTCTCTTACTGGAAAACCTACTCTAGCCCCCCCCCCCCCGCCGCCCATATACCCATATCTAGTCCATTGATGAATTGCAATATGTAAAAGAGCATTATACGAGCAGAAAATAATTAAAACACGCAAACATGCAAAATCACGAAAAAAAAATAGTTTTGATCGGTTAGAGATAAGCAAACTGTTGGTTTGTAAAAAATGTCCTCAATATGCTAGTAACGGATTGCCACATACATTTGAAAATGTAGCACTATACAGAAATAACCAAATGGACAATTGTCTTTATAAATACCTCTGCTCTTTCTTTCTATAGGGTAGCATAACTTTATTTCTTAAATTTCCTAAGCTGAACTTTCGATTGAGCTTGTTGGCGGGCGAAACTTGTTTGTTTAAAAAACGTTTTAATTTAGCAATATTCAACGTTGGGTTGATTCGGCGATCACATGGAAAATTCTATTTGACAATTTTATTTTGTTTTATTTTCAGCGGTCTATGGTCACGAATACAAATACTGTGGGTGCCCTATATCTTTCAATATAACAATAAATAAATAAATTAAATAAAAAATAAAAAATGTGCAAAAAAGACAACATTTTTTTTGAACAAAATTAAGTGTTAGGCGAACGCTGTTATACATGGAAAAACTCATTTTTTAAATTGCAACTCATCATTTTTTGTTAATAAACTTAATTATGTAATTAAAAAAATTTTGTTTGCCGCAAATTATTTATGAAGAACCCAATTAATTTTTAATATTTTGGTTAAAACAAAAATTTAGTAGATATTTTGTTCAAAATGGTTCAAGTTGTTTTACATGTATTCCCTATAGATTTTAAATAGCAACCATACATGCAGTTTCAGTTTAATGTTCATTATAAATATTATGGAAGTTACAACTCTGAATTATCGTTACACATAGATTTCATTTGAAAAGCTAGATACGAAAAAAACCAAAAATTCCCATTTTAAATAAAAATACAATGGGATTGGTATGTTTCTTGGTTTGTGTATGTTTCTTGATATGTAACAAAACATGTACAATTGATAAAATATAAATATAGTAGAGATACTCTAAGAATTTAAAGTGAAATAAGTTTCATAAGTTGATTTTGTGCATTGACAAGGTAATATGCTGATCTTGTGTTTCGTTTATTATAGTCAAGAATCCCTTACTTATTTTTGATGAAATATTTTTGAGAGTTAAGAATACAATATTGGTGCAGTTGCGAGTACTCATAGTAGATATTTTTTCAAGTAATGGGTTGAGTTGATATGCTATATATTGTATGTCATTATCAGATGCATTTATAACTAAGCCTAAATGTACTTTATGGAACAGATTTCGGTTTTCATATTGTTCCATGTTAAATATGTCCAGTATATGTTACATTTTACTCGGAATGAAAATTATATGCGTTACACTATGATTTGATTTCGATTGAAAAGAAGCGTAGATATCTTGTTCTAAAAAACCACTGTTAAATTTCTCATTGTAAAATTAAAATTATACCCAAGTGGAATTCGGTAAGAATATCTGATGTCATATACTAATTAGGAAGACATGTACTTATTTGTAAACCTCCGCTGTTTCAATTGTTTTGCACATTTATGCTATATACTGTCTTGCCATATATAATGCATTACAATATATCCTCATGGGTTATATAGCCTTATAGAATATTGAAAATAAACTTATCAAACTTATCATGTACTAGTAGGCGGTCTCTTTTGGCGAGTGGTTAAGGTCACAGACTATTCATCACTTACCATCCGCTGCTTTAGGTTTGAAATCCGACAGATGAGAAGATAACATTATTACTTCTTGTGAGTTGTGCATCCTAATTAATGCAAATGTTATAATGTTACGCATCTTAAAGTATAATTTCAAATAGTTTTTCAAGAATGATATGATTTAGTATAAAATAAAAAAGTTAGTTTATACAAGTAAACAATCAAAGATATCAAAGACATTTTAATCTTTTTTTTAAGTTTACATTTTGCAAGAAGTGTAACAGTAGGCATCATGTCGTATATTTCAGCAAGGCATCACCTGTTTGCCCCTTTGTTGTTTATGTGTGTTGTTGATCTGATAATTGTGCTTAAATGACGACATCGTCGAATAAATAAACGTTGGAACTACTAACCGTACACTAAAATGACGCACAGTTTTTGTAGGCGCATAACATCTATCGGTTTTAAATGACGTTTTGTTGAAGTTAAGATATCTCTATTTTTTCATGAACTTTGGCGCTCTACTAAAACACTAGTGTGGCGTTACCATGGTAATAAGGAACCGAAGCGTTACTTGAAGACAGTATATTATGAAATATAACTTAAAAATGGTTTAAAGTTAAGAAAGAACGTAACAATTGTCAGAAATATAAATGAATTCCAAACATTAAAGTGACTTGGTCCATTGTTATATGAATAATAATGATGAAAGTATTTAATAGCAGACATAACAATAACAATAAACTACGAAACAATTATGCGCAGAAGTTGTTGGCAAGTATGAGATACATGGTTTGATTCACATGTATATATATCTATTAGCAGATAACGATCATATAAATGTTCATTGTAAGTCACATAGAACTATATCAACATTTTTTTTCAAAACAACTTTTTATAAGAATATCCAAATGATACATTTTTATTGCTTTTTGACAAAGTTTAGACATCGTATGAAAAATGTGCCCATTGTAGACCTGTCCTCTTTAATGGATCAACCCACGTGTCATATTGTTGTCTGACAAAAAGTTTTCTTTAAATTCGTGATAAAATTTTCTATATTGTGAAGTTGAATCTACATGAAAATGCATAATTTAAGCATCTCTAAAGGACGAAAATGATGGAATTTCAAGGGATGGTAAAATGATTGCAAATTACAAAAGTCAGCATTTGAATATTAATATGAACAAACAGGTATCCATGGCCGTGAAGTTAAGTCGTTTACTTCAAACTACTACTCCCTTACTACTATTTGTTTTGAATCCTACAGAGATTTTGAATTCTGCCTTGTGAGGAAGCTTTCCAGCTTTGTCGATGGTTCTACTCAGATACTACTGTGAGTGGCACCAGATGTCTTCCTCTAGCAATAAAGCTCAAACATTGCCGAATGACTATTATGGTTTTTTGTTACTGCCGTTTGAAAGCTTGTCTGCAATATGCAGGTTTCATAAGTTTTGATCCTATATGTGGTTTTTGGCTAAACGGTATGCGTGTTACATTAAAATTTCTATGATAATGGCCCAAAAGCAGATGTTTCTAGATTCAAACTGTTATATTTTGTCTTAAATGTAGTGTTCTGTTTAAGTCGATGCTTGGGGCGTGGGTGGTAGCTTGCAAATTTCAGTATCTGCCATTAACATCAAACCAGTTTCAAATTTGTCATTTTGAACGTTCTTTAGAGATTCGTCTTTTCTTTTACGTTATTTTCGACCGTGTGACCATATACACGCATCGTGAATATGCTTGAAGGAATGTGACTGTGCGACCACATACACGCATCACAGGATTCCCCTTCTCAATATGAGAAAGGGAAAAAGAACTGCCCGCCCTTCATCAAAGGGTAAACTAAAAATATGTTATCTCTTTATTGTTGTTGATAAGGATTCTAATTTTCACAGATACGTCTTGAATTGGTATGTATACAGCTATTTAAGATCACTCTTTCATTAATTTCCTTATTCTTAGCGTACTTTTGTCTCTAAAATTGAGACGTTAAGCTATCATTTGTAATATTTATTTTCAAATTTGTCAATCAAATGTACATACAGACTAGACAATAGTGGACTAGACTGAATGTCTGCATTTACATTTTGTTTAAAACAATCAACTTATCTACGTTTGAATATTTTAACAAACTTTTTTGGACTGTATTGCAATAGGTTGAACCATACATCTGTGAATCCATATTCTTTTACAATAAAATGTACTTTAGCTGCCCAGGAGTTATAACAATTTTCATGAAGACTTATTGATCAATGAAAATATTTTTATTTCAATCAAGAATATGTAACCAGAATCTTATTATTTGAACATTTCTTTGAATATAAAGAGGATATCGGTCTAATTCCGGATAAACTGCTGCAGTACTCTGTTTTTACGCCTTACAATGACTTGCAAAATTTCCAATGATTCCATACTTTCTATATTAATTTAGGTATCCACGTTTTGCAAAGACAATTTCTTATAAGACTCTAACTATTATAGGATGACCACTTGGATGAGAAAAAAACAACACAACGCCATTACTATTCGTTATAGATTGACACATTTGAGTTTTAAAAAAATATCCAATTTTATTGCTCTTAAAATCTTCTGAAATTTGCTGCGTTTTTAATTATTTTAAACGTCAGACTACGTTAACGTCTTTTGACGTCATTTTTTTTAAATGACGTTGAGGGTATTTTTTCTCATGCAGGCGTTCATACATGATTTAATTGAGGAAAAGAGAAATAACAAAAAACGGAATAATTTGACATGGATTTTTTTTAGGAATTTTTTATTTATATATTAAATAATAATAATTAATAATAATAATAATAAGTGAAAGGACAAAACAACATTTATAACATTCCATCTTGTCATTTCCTAATAGTTTAACTGTTGAACAAAGATCAAGCTATTAACATAGCAATGATCCTACAGCTGATAAAAAATGAAAGGATGATATGCCATGAGTTTGTCAAATATGACGTCACCACCGATGGGAGTGTCCTATGGATGAGGTAATTTATTTGCAAAATGACGTAATAGCGTTGAGTGGTCCTCTTGTCGAAAAAAGTCCTTGAATATTGCATCATCAATTCAAATAAATAAAGCATCGTCCTTTTGGATAGAAAATGAAATTCACAAAAAATACCAAGGCCCGTAGACACATGTCTAAATTTCACGAATTTGTTGAGGAATTTGTCGTCTGCAGGAAAATTATTGGAACACACGTGCCATGCAGAGTCCTCTCATTTGTCGTGGATACATGTTACACATCATCATGTCCCTCATACGATCTGAAAAACAAAAATAACAGAAATGATAAGAGTCGATGATATCACTTTTAAGAAATAAAAATTATGATTCATGTATATATTTTTCTGATGTAATATATAGTTTAATGTTAAATTATCTTTTTTTAAAGCCGATGATGGATAGTTAGTTATTAACCCAGACCGAACGTTCGGACATAAACTTCCGCCAGGTTATAAATAAGATATAATTACTTAATAATACACAAAAAGAGTGCATTAATAATTGTGTTGAACCTCGTGACACAAAAAGATATAAATTTGACAGAAACCAGCTGATCGATGGTTTTATACCACCAATAAGTCAATTTGTATCTATTTTTAGATCGTGTGTCACAAAAACCATCACATTAATAGCCTTTCCGCTAATGACAGATGATTACACATGATGTACACATGATGGACATAAAGTGACAGCTGTAGTTATGTCCAACAATAGTTACATACATTTTAAAAACGTCGACGTTTAAAAAACATAAAATTTACATTGAAATTAAGCGCATTTCAATTGATAGTAACTTGTTTTTATTCATTAACTTTAAAACGTATAACAAAATATTAACCCTTTATCTCCTGGAAAGAAAAGTTAAGAGCATTTGTCGAGATAAAGCCGCACGTCCGTGCAGTACGACCACGCTCTACGCTGTTGGCCGACTAACTTTCCATAATTTATTATATACAAGTACAGTCCAAAAGCTTGAAATTGAACAAGCCCATTTTTATTACTTCAGCATTATAAGGTTAATTGTCTTGCAGGGTGTGCGCCAAGGATGATACACCTCTCAGCTATTATTTTCTTTATTTAACAAATACTGAACAAAAGTCCGGTATTAAAAAGACATTTGTTGTATCAAAACCAAAGAAGCATTTAGAGAATGCAATAGCGTGGCAATTAGTCTGCTTTTTATAAATATATTTTTTATACAAAAACATTATCTAATAAAATAGATGAAATGGCACTACATTTTATTTTAAAAAGTATTCATTTGTAAAAAAGCACGTTTAATACAGCTATCACTTGAATAAAGAAATTCAACTTCTGTAGTGAAAGAAAAAAGAACAAAAACGAAACGTAGTTTTTCTGATCTGGAAACACTGATTGCAAAAATTGAGTTTAAAGACAATTTGCAAATTTGGAAAGTTATGTACTAAAGTTGTATGACACAATTCATGATACAGTGTCTCGTAATCATACTCAATATTGAAATTCTGTCTGAAAAATAAGGAATCTAGAATAGATTGTGAGTTATATTTATCTTTAAAATATCATACATTGTTTATGTGTAATTCTAGATATATTTAATATTTACATCTTAAATATGTTTTATATTTTGACTCGCTAGATAAGTAAAAAAGTAAGATCGCTAACATATCTAGAATTACATCTAAATAATATGTAAATATAAAAAAAAAGACTCCTACCTCCTCCTAAAGCTAACATTGCAGGGTTAAATCCACCTCGACCCCCCATGCTGAAAAGAGAGCTGGAACCGCCGGAACCACTTGCGCCCGATGATGCTCCGGCACTGGAACCACCACTGCTTCCGCCTCCCAACATTCGCATAAGCATCATGGTACTGAAGATATCATTCTGAGCCGAGACTGAGGCTATCAATGCAACACTAAAGATAATTGCGAAAACCTTCATTGTCACTGAATGAATGTTAAACAACTCCAACGGTCAAAAGTGAGAAAAAAGAGAGAGTCTCTTAAGGACCTTAACCTAATCGGTTGGCGACTGATCTAACACTGATAATAATGCACAGAGCCCGGTGAATTTAACGGAACAATACACGCCTTAAATTGTCATAGTGTGTCACGTGGTGACTAAATCTGTCTAATTATGAAGCAATATGACAGGATTTCGTCAACCTTCGCCATTTTAAGTAACAATTGTATTGGTGAGACAATTAATGAAATCTGACAATTAACGCAGAGGCCCGGCCTTTGGTCTTATGAATAAACAGACACTGTTAATATACTACGAAAAAAAAAGTTTTCTAAAGAAATATTAAAGACCAATTATGTCTTAGAGACGAATACAATTTATTTCTTTAAAAAGGGCAAACATTAACTTTATATCGTTTAAATACTTGTTTTACAGCAAGTAAGTTACAGAATAAAGTAACGGTAAATGTGAAATAGTTGGTCATAAATGTACAGAATGTTAACAAATTAGTACTTTGGCTACCATACAAAATATTGTACTAATTGCCAATAGAAACAGAAGTAAAAGATGGTTCAGGTCATTGGCCAACGAACAGCTTTTTGGAAGCAATAAAAAATCACCTTCAATAAAATGTTTTGAAAAATAAAAGAAGAAGTATTTCTGAAGCATAGTTAGTCTTTAAAAGTACCTATTAACTTTTAATGTTTCATGTTATATTTTGACTCGGTGAAACGCATCTCTGGACAAAATCATAATGGGGCATATTATGGGAGCGGAAAGATACAATATGTTTCTAGTTACAGACGATTAGAAGCCAACCACCTTTTATTAACAACCGATATATTTGTCTCCAGAATGGTGTTGGTATGCAGGAGTTTTACTGTAGTTACTCGGCCATTCTGGTACATCAACCAAATGTCCAAATTCCAATGACCGGAAACATCATTTACCTCTTACACATACCATAGTGGTTATCGTCTACGTAATGTGTTATGTATGTATTTTGACGAACTTCAATATTTAATCAAAGCAAAATGTACAAAATAAAAAAGACGTATGCAAAATCTTTGAGATATACAGAAAACTTAACTAAAATGTGGAAAGATCAGGAATAAATTGACATTATTAGATACGAACATTAAGTGAATGACTTATGTGATATATAAAAGTTATTAATAGAATTAGGCGTCCGCATTATTTTACTTTGAGCAACTTTTCAACGGCACGCATTGAACGTTTTATGATTACCGCTTCGGTGGAAGTTAAAAAAATATCAAAATTTCACAATTTCCATATATATGCATGTTAAATTCTACTTTGACCAATTGTAGGGGCTTTTTGAAGGTATCTTGCAGTACACATTGATGCCCAGTAACGAACAGCCCTTGCCAAACAGAGCTTGTTTGCTTTGGATAGTGGGCCATCAGATTTTCCCGTTTTTACTTATTTTACGTTTTAAAATCTGAACTTCATATGATCATTTCATTACTTTTATTGATCGATTGTTTCGAAAATAAAAGAAATCTTAATTCTTCTAAAAGTTTTATTATCGGGCTATACGGCCTCCTCTTATGCTTTGAAATTTTGAAATAGTACTTTCATGCACATTTCTGAAGCCACTGGAAGAACCTTAAGTATTGTAATTAGTCGATGTAATATTGCAAGGGGGCGGTCAGTACATTACCAATACATGTATTCAAAAGAACTTTGTACTTGACACCTTTATGCTTGTTTAGTGATATATAAACATAATATTGACATGTTCAGCTTCTTTCATTTGACACTATTTTGTCTAAGGACGGCCTTTTGCATAAAATCAATACATTTACATATGCTAATTAGATGTTAATGATGTATGGACATAACTTGGTGTCTGGACTGGCCGATGTACATAAATCGATAAATTTACATAATTGTTACGTTGTTTTATGTGAAAGTAACCGGCTGGCGTTTGTAACACGAAAAAAACATGTCTTACCTTGACACCTACTAACAGTTCGACACCTTGCTTCAACATTTCGTCCTGTCACGTTAACAAATGACTATTATATCAATGTACATGTGTAAAATGTATTTCATCTTAAGCTATATAGAGCTTCTTTGCAGGTTAAAAACTAATGCAAAAATTATAAAACTGAAATCCAGATGATCAACGCTAAATAAACAAGTCTGCAAATATAACTGCTAATTAAAATCGTCGAGTTTCGCTCAACTCGGTGCTATTTTTCTTACTTTTTTTGGGAGAATGGGAGAGGGTGGCTTAAATGATATCTCAATCAAACCAACCCTGCAAAGTTTTTAACTGTGTTTGACGAACTTAAGGATTTCAATTAATAACAGGTTTTGTACATACAGTAATATCTATAACATTTTTACAAACATGTATTTTATCTCTATGTATAAATAATTTACACGGTACAGTTGCTGGATTACACTTTAAGTCATCCTAATGCACATATCTATAGATGCTCTTACGATCATATTTACATATCTCCTGTAACATGTTCTTAGTTTCTTTGATCAATTATTTGTTGTAATAAATACGGAACAATACTACAAATATTATATTGACATGAGGGTTCTCCATGTCTTGTCTATGACCGGACGTTTCAAATGGGTTTCTTCTCCTACTCCCATTTCCATTTGTTAGCCATTGTCGTCTTAAATGTCTTTGTAGGATTCTTATGATGACGCTTCGTCTGTACATTTCTATTGTGCCGCTGTCTGCTTTTTTGTGGGCCAGTTGTCCTATATTGCTTGTTTTTGTTGGGCGAAACGTTTCTTGAATGCTGCATTTCTTTGTTGTTCTTTGCTCTCATATGATACTTCACACAGGAGTTGCAATTATAATAATAAAACTCAGATTCAATAATTTCTATTTTAATGCCACGCACAGTTGATATACTAAAAACAACTCGTTAATATTCATTTCAAAGATATTATATTGATTATCATTATCATTATTTTTCATGATAACGGAGTTTTATCCTTTTCAAATCACATACTCCTTTTTGCTTAAATTGTTTATTTGCCATTCTAAAACAGATTTACACCCACAACCGGTCGACAAAAAATATATCTACTGGTTCTTTTGAACAAATTCTGTTAACGACGAATTGGCCTACTGGAGACAAGTCAACAAAACGGTATAATATATATCATGTTATTTTTTTTTTAAATAAAATGTTCCATATATTCATTTTCACTAAACAGTGTTCCAAATCGTTGTAAAATATTGTTTGAATTATTGTTATGTGATTTTAAAATCTTCTCATCAGTAAAGTAATATACAAAATCATTTTTTTAGTTATTATCAAATTTATTTTTGTAGAATTAGTACTTGTCAACAATATATTTTTATACTATTGATTTTAACAATGTTAATGTTTTCGTATTTTGTATTATATAACGTTTATTTTATTTTCATGAAAATAGCCCAGATTTTCTGTTTACCAATTTTCAGAGACATAGTTCTTCAAAAGGAAGTTGTCGCGAAAACATATAACTTTTAAATAATAAATTATCACTTAAAATATTACTTGAGTCATTTTTTCTTTATGTAATTACAACAAAAATATAAAAAAGAAGGGCCTCGGATAATAAAATCATTGGAGCACTAAGCATCTTGTCAGCAGCTTGTCTAACCAAAATGTAAATAGACTGACAATAACAGCTAGATTTACGTTTTTCAAAGCCACCGCCGACGGGTTATACGTCGAGATAAAGAACGTTTCATTTTTTGTTCTAATAACGTTTATCTGTGGCCGGATTGATCGTTGTTTAATCACTTTCATTAATAAAGATGTCGTATTGTAACACACTGGACCACATTTTACTTCATCCTAGTCATGATACAGAGTCACGAGTAACTAATTATCTATTTATTATGGTTGGAAAGTTTTAAACCACATCTGTTTACGGGGACAGCATCTTTTCAGTGCATGAATATAACGTCAAAACAGTGTGACCATACAACACGCACCAATTTTGTATTTTGTATGCAATAAACATATACAACATTCCTCGAGAGACAAGCAATCAGTTACTATTTCGTGCTTACGAAAATAGCACGAAAAGTGTAAAGCTCTTATCAAAGGAGAGACCTTATTGCATACGTACTCTTGTGCAATCGACATAAGCAACCATGTTTCTTTAAACTATACCCTGAGTTGGACGTTCTTTGTCCAATTAATGGAGGAACATGGCCTATTTTCAGTAATGTGTGAACGTTCAGTCAAAGGGTTAAAGCATGTTACACTTTACTTTCTATAAATAGGACAGTTATAAACAATGGGGTTTTCTGTCTAAGAAAACATTCAGCCAGGCCAAAATATTAAGACAGTTCAAAAATGACTTTGCCCTACCTTGGATTCCATAATCAAAACAAATATTACTTAGATCATTCCAAACAAAAGCAGTAATCAGTTTTAAATTTATTCCATAGTATATTTAAAATGAAACGTAGTTTTTGACATCGTACATATTTTGGTAAAACAAATTATAATCGTAAGAAAAAATATCATGCAGAAAACGTTACTTAAATCTGAAATACTAATACTACTAATAATTGGATTGGATACCGCTCAAACTGGTGCAGGGGTTGGGTGAGGGAAACCGGTGCAGGGGTGGGTGAGAGATGCTGTTGCACTTTCATCACTTACAACATATTACGTTTTTTGTTTGTTTTTGGTTTTGCTGGGCCTAACGTCGCACCAACACGATATAAGTCTTATGGCGACTTTCAAGCTTTACTGGTGGAGGAAGACCTCAGCTGCCCCTCTGTACATTATTTCAGGCACAAACGGACACCTGAGTAGTAGTACCGCCGACGTACTTTGATAGATATTACGTGCTTATTTTATTAATATATTATGAAGATACCGTGCTGAAAATAAATGCAAACTATTCTTTTGTAACGGTGACTTTGAAGTGTGCAATTAATCATATTTCTTGTGCATTAATAAGCCATAATGTTAGATAAGATACCTAAACAATATTTATTATATACCTGAACAGGCATGTCTAGTCGTTGACCTATACCTCTCTTACATGTAATAAAACAGTTATATTATATGAAGGATAGAAGGTTTTATATATGTAGTTAATT